AAAAAAAAAAAAAAAAAAAAAAACGAAAAACAACTACAGGTCAATCTCTGAAGAATATTGATGCAAAAAATCCTCAACAAAATACTGGCAAATTGAATTCAACAATACATTAGAAAGATCACATATCATGACAAAGTGGGATTTATCCCAGGAATGCAAGGATCATTTAACATATGCAAATAAATCAATGTGATACATCACATCAACAGAAAGAAGGACAAAAACTATGATCATTCAATTGATGCTAAAGAAAGATTTGATACAGTTCAACATCCCTTCATGATAAATGCCCTAAAAAAAACTGCGTATATAAGGAACATACTCGACATAGTAAAAGCCATATATGACATACCCATAGCTAGTATCAGACTGAATGGGAAAAAACTGAAATGCTTTACTCTCTTAAGATTTGGAACATGACAAGGATGCCCACTTTTACACCACTATTCAACATAGCACTGAAAGTCTTATCTAGAGCAATCAGACGAGAGAAAGAAATAAAGGGTATCCACATTGGAAAGGCTGAAGTCAAATTATCCTTGTTTGCAGGTGATATGATCTTACATTTAGGAAAACTTAAAGACTCTTGCCAATAAACTATTAGAATGGATAAATAAGATCAATATATTTGCAGGACGTAAAATCAACATACAAAACTCAGTAACATTTCTATATGCAAACAGAGAGCAATCTGAAAAAGAAATCAAGAAAGTAATCCTATTTACAATGGCTACAGATAAAATAAAATACCTAAGAATTAACTAAAGAAGTGAAAGATCTTTACAACAAAAACTATAAAACACTGATACAAGAAATTGAAGAGAGCGCACACACACACAAATTGAAAGATACTCCATATTCATGGACTGGAGGAATCAATATTGTTAAAATTCCCATACTATGCAAAGCAATCTACAGATTCAATGCAATCCTTATGAAAATGCCAATGATATTCCTCAAAGAAATAGAAAAAACAATTCTAAAATTTATATGAAACCACAGAAGACCCAGAATAGCCAAAGTTATCCTAAGCAAAACAAAACAACAACAAAAAAACAAAACTGGAGGAGTCACATTACCTGACTTTATTTTTTTTATTTTTTTTATTTTTTGAGACGGAGTTTTTGCTCTTGTTACCCAGGCTGGAGTGCAATGGCGCGATCTCGGGTCACCGCAACCTCCGCCTCCTGGGTTCAGGCAATTCTCCTGCCTCAGCCTCCCGAGTAGCTGGGATTACAGGCACGTGGCACCATGCCCAGCTGATTTTTTGTATTTTTAGTAGAGACGGGGTTTCACCATGTTGACCAGGATGGTCTCGATCTCTTGACCTCGTGATCCACCCGCCTCGGCCTCCCAAAGTGCTGGGATTACAGGCGTGAGCCACCGCGCCTGGCCACCTGACTTTAAATTATACTACAGAGCTATAGTAACCAAAACAGCATAGTTCTGGCATAAAAATAGACATTTAGACAAATGGAACAGAAGAGTGAACCCAGAAATCCAATAGTGAACTTACACACCTACAGTAAACCCATTTTGAACAAAGGTGCCAGGAACATACATTGGGGAAAAGACAGTCTCTTCCATAAACGGTGAAACTGGATATTCATATGAAGAAGAATGAATGAAAGTAGACCCTTATCTCTCACCATATACAAAATCAAGTCAAAATGGATTAATGACTTAGATCTAAGACCTCAAATTATGAAACGACTGCAAGAAAACATTGTGGAAACTCTCTGTGACATTAGAGTGGCCAAAGATTTATTGAGTATCCAACAAACACAGGCAACCAAAGCAAAAATGGACAAATGGGATCACATCAAGTTAAAAAGCTCCTGCACAGCCAAGGAAACAGGCAACCCACAGAATGGAAAACTGCAAACTACCCATATGACAAGGGATTAAAAACCAGAATATCTAGAAGTTCAAACGACTTTATAGGGAAAAAAAAATCTAATAATCAGATTAAAAATCAGCAAAATAGATGTATCTTTAAAGACATACAAATGCCAAACAGGTATATGAAAAGGTGTTCAACGTCATTGATTAGAGAAATGTAAATCAAAACTACAATGAGATATTATCTCACTTCAATTAAGATGGCTTTTATCCAAAAGACAATAAATGCTGTTGAGAATGTGCACCTCCACCTCCCGAGTTCAAGTGATTCTCTTGCCTCAGCCTCCCCAGTAGTTGGGATTACAGGCGCTCCACCATGCCCAGCTAATTTTTATATTTTTGGTAGATAGGAGGTTTCACCATGTTGGCCAGGCTGATCTCGAACTCCTGACATCAGGTGATTCACCTGCCTTGGCCTCCCAAAGTGCTGGAATTACAGGTGTGAGCCACCATGCCCAGCCATGAATATTTTTTTTAATGCAAAGAAATGATATAATCCTACTTTAACAAAATCCTCACATCAAAAAAAAGCAACCCAAGATACATGATTCTGATTTATTAATCTGAGATGCTTTTGTGAAGAAAATAAACATACCAACTATTTTTTTTTCCTTTGTCGGATGATTTTTTTTGGAGTGCTCATATTTCTGTGTTGTGAATTGTTTATAAAACATTTTTTTCACAAATTAAAAGCAAAACTCGATGAAACTTTTGTCTCCACTTCTTTCATGCAATTTGAAATTCAAATGTTTCTCACCTTTTTTGGTTAATAGCAAAGCATATTTTCTGCAGTAAGCTTTAACTGTACTTACATATGAAACAAGGTGGTTTTTAAATCATTTTCTTAAAGAGAAAATAGAAGCAAAAGTAACAGGAAACTCTAAATCTCAGAAATCATTTTTACAAAATGATTAAAAACTAGACCTGGCATAGTGGCTCACACCTATAATCCTACCACTTTCAGAGGCTGAGGCCAGTGGATTACTTGAGCTCAGGTGTTTGAGACCAACCTGGGCAACACAACGATACTCTGTCTCTACAAAAATGAAAATCTAAAAAAAATTAGCTAGGCATGGTGGTGTGCACCGGTAGTCTCAGCTACTCGGGAGGCTGAGGTGGGAGGACTGCTTGAGCCCAGAAGACCAAGGTTGTGGTGTGCTATGATTGTGTCATTGCACTCCTGCCTGGGTGAGACACTGTCTCATAACGAAAGAAAAGAAAAACTATTTGATTCCATATATGACTGCAGTGAAAGTTTTCTTGTTATCTTTGCATCTACTTTTTTTATATCCAACTTTTAAATAACTTTCCTGAGAATCTGTTGTGTCACAAAAGTCTGTGCCTAGAATTTCACAAGTAACCAAATGAAAGTAGGGATGAAATCTAAACCTATTTAAAAGCAGATGATGTCACACTTCATGTGGAAAACTGCTGGAAATAAATCAAAACCTGACAATGGTGCTGGATGTGGTGGCTCACACTTGTAATTCCAGCACTTTGGGAGGCCAAGGCAGGTGGATCACTTGAGCGCAGGAGTCTGAGACCCCCCTGAGCAACACGGTGAAATCCCATCTCTACAAAATACAAAAAATTAGCTAGGCATGATGGCACATGCTTGTTGTCCCAGCTACTCAGGAGGTTGAGGTTGGAGACTCACCTGAGCCTGGGAAGTCAAGGCTTCATTGAGCCATGATCGCACCACTGCACTCCAGCCTGGGCAACGGAGCAAGAGGATGTCTCAAACAAAACAAAATAAAAAGAAAAACCTGACAATGTATCATTGCTTTTGGTTTATAAACCTACAGAGCTTTTTTTTACCTTGATGACTAAATGTATGTTGTAGCAATGTTCAGAGAACAAATAGTTAAATGAAAAGCTGGCTTAGTTGTGTCTAATTTAATATAAAGTAGTCAACATTTAATATTGCAATTGACTAAAATCCTTCTGAAATTCTTAGAGGAATACTGTTCAGTTTTAGGAGTGGTTGGTAAAACTTACACTGCTATGGTTATAAGAAGCATATAGCTTGACTTGAATATCAGATAGCCAGCATAGCATGCCCAGATGTTGGCTGTGTAATGCATGAGCAATAGAGAACCGGCATTGACAACTGAGAAGACCGCCAGAGCCAGCTCTCCCAGAAGGTCCCAGTTGACTTTCACAAAACCCACTGCAAAGGCAGCCACAGCCCCTGAAAAAGAAACACTGAAGACAATCAAATATAATGACTTTGCATGCAAGAAGTATCAACACCCTCTCTTAAAACTCCAGGTCTCGGGTAATTCTAAAAGATGAATATATTGCTTTCACAAAATTGTGTGATGGACCTGAATGTGGATCTATCCTTTCCTCAGCCATATTTTCTTTTGTCTTTCCTTTTCACTTCCTATTCTTTTGGCCATTGAGTCATCACACTTTTAACTGTGGTATGTGTCAACTACATACCAGGCACTGGACTCTGCAGAGGGGTGAGAAAGATTCCTAACCACAGCGGTGTGGGGAGGAATGATACAGTAACCTGGTCACTCAAAACAACGTGCGGGAATGGAAAAAGATGAAATAAGTTCTGTGGGAATACACCTGGCCTATTTGCCTTTCTTTTCTCAGTTTTGTTGTAAGTCTTTTTCAGTGATGAGTACCAGATGTGTTGCAATGATAGTTTTGGTCTTTTTTCCTTGTTCCACCCAGTTTTAGTCTTTATTTTTAATCATTAGTAATCTTAGGCCAGGCATGGTGGTTCATGCCTGTAATCCCAGCACTTTGGGAGGCCCGGACAGGCGAATCACCTGAGGTTGGGTGTTCAAGACCTGCCTGACCAACATGGAGAAACTGCATCTCTACTAAAAACACAAATTTTATATATATATATATATATATATATATATATATATATATCTGGGTGTGGTTGCACATGCCTATAATCCCAGCTACTTGGGGGGCTGAGGCAGGAGAATAGCTTGAACCCGGGAGGCTGGAGGTTGTGGTGAGCCGAGATCATGCCATTGCACTCCAGCCTGGGCAACAAGGGCAAAACTTTATCTCAAAAAAAAAAAAGTAACCTTAGTTTTATTTCCAATCTCCACCCTAAAGTCTTCAACATCTGACCTAATTTACTTGAGCAGCTTTGGGTGAAAACATCTATATTGACTTACAGAGTTCAAGAAATTGAATAATTGACAGTAATTAGGGTTAGTACTTGCTATTCTCTTTAACAAAAATAAAAGGTATTTAGGGCAGAGCACAGTGGCACACTCGTGTAATCCTAGCACTTTGGGAGGCCGAGGTGGGAGGGTCACCTGAGGTCAGGAGTTAGAGACTAGCCTGGTCAACATGGTGAAACCTTATCTCTACAAAAATACAAAAATCAGTGTGGTAGAGAGCACCTGTAATCCCAACTATCTGGGAGACTGAGGCAGGAGAATTGCTTGAACCCGGGAGGCAGAGGTTGCAATGAGCTGAGATGGTAACGCTGCACTCCAGCCTAAGTGACAAAGCAAGACTCCGTCTAAAATAAATAAATAAAATTTTAAAAAGGTATTTAGATTTCTAATTACTACACTAACATTTTATTAGCTTTCCCACATATGATCATGACTACAAAGGAAAAAAAAAACTATTTTCCCCCGACAAATTTGGAACGTGGGAGCAGTAATTTCAGCGAAGCAATTCTGGCACAGTCCTGGTTTTCAGGAGTTAAATTGAAGCTTTCCAAAAGGGAGATAATAGTACAATGAAGGTGACATGAATTTTTTCTAAAACTTTTTGTAAATGAGGGTGGGGCAAATTCTCACTTCCTAAAAATATCTTCAAAGTCTCATTTGACATTTAAGCTTCCATTTACTAGGAAATAAATATTTATTGTAGATTAAACTTCAAAAAGAGATTTCCCTCTGATATTAAAATCCTGACTTACACAACATTTCCACTCCACATTTAAACATCATGAGAAAGCTGCTTTTGAAAGTTGCTGGTGTATAGCCTACAATTAATATAGATGCATGCTAGCTAGTTCAAATCCTCTGTTAACAAGACTCTCAGTGAGAATTTGGAATCCTTATTTTGTTTTCTTAAACAATAAAAACATACACACATATATTTATATATTTTGATATTAAAAATAATGCTAAAAGAACAGGGCATGCTATTAACCCTTGTGCTAATGATGAATTCAAATCTTAGGGATTCAACTAGAATTTCATGGTTTGGTGCTAAGCCCTGAGTGCCTAAGAGTTACCTGCTGTAACTACAACACAATAGAAAGTCATGGTATTCTTATTTTTCCAGTGACTTTCATTCTTGATTGAAAACAGTTATTCTGCCTTCTGAACAGAGCTAATTTGCTGCCATGAAGTTCAGTACCTTGAGAAATGGGCTTAAGGTGATAAAGTCAACAAAGCAAGAGCAAGTGACATTTGCTTACCTCCAAAGGTTGCAATAGCTTCTACTGCCCCATTATAAATGGAAGAAACTTGGGATGGTGCCTTGTAATCCCACAGGATTTGAACATAGTTCACAACCTGGTTAAAACCTGCTGTAGCGAAAGCCCACCACAGAGACCAATACAAAAGACGTTTTGAGGAGTAGCACTCCTTCAAATCTTGGAACGACTGCACAAAAACTTCCAAAGTCACATTGCTTGGTTTCAGGTTGTTTGGCTGGCAGTCTTTCAGCTTCTCTGAGGTGCTGGGTGTTTCTGATGCGGGTTTCTGCTCTTCACAGCCTGGTGCTTCACCTTCACGAGTTTCCTCTAACACCACACTCATGCTTGATGACTTCTTTATTTCTTTGCTGGGTTTTGCATGAAAAAACATGCTCTTCTTGGGCATTGGTAGGAAAAGTGAGCAAATGAAGGCTACGGAGACAGAGACCAAGGATATGACATTGAGGTAAAAGTACGACAGGTTCGCCAGGGATACCAAGAGTTGGGCCAGCACGGACCCTGCTGTGTAGGCGACCAGCGTGATGCTCCTGCAGTAGCTGCTCACTCTCTGATAGTGCTCAGGGCTGACCACGCTGTATATGTAGGCATAGTAGGCCACCTCGGTGGCGGTGACCATCCCGTAGAAGAACTCTACAACCTGCATGGTCTTCACTCCTTGGCCAAACAAGAGCAGCAGCCAGGTAATGATGAAGCTAATGCCTT